AAATTATTATGTTTTAATTTTCTACTCTGTAGTAATAAGCCCTATCGTATATAAGTGATGTGATAGATTTATTACGGACCAATTTGATTCTCTGTTTAACATAACCCCCTCCCCCCTATTTTTTTTTATTTATTTTTTTTTTTTACCTCCCTCCGCTATCCTGAAGGTCCTTAGACACCTTAGGATCTGTACATCTTTTAAGGCCAGAGTTATCATTCTGCGGAGATCAACGGAAGGCTGCAGGCCTCTGTATGTCACCGAACTCGTGAGATAGCTCATGCTTTTTTTTAAGTCCGTCATATGACGTCCCGGGTCCCTGGTCCCGCGGTGAAGGACCTACGTTCTCTAGGTCCGCAGTTCCCTAATTTCACATGACCCACCAGCCGGATCGTCCTTTTATTTTATTAGTCCTATCGCTATGCTGGGTATTCTCAATGTTAACGTCATTTGTTGACGGATTCGCCTTATCTGGTCGTCCCCGACGCCGTGATTATGCCGGTAGACTGCTTTTGTACGTATGAACCTTGTTCTTTTCTAAACGGGAAAGTCCTCTGAAGATCTTTTCCAATCGTGGTCCTGGCAAAGCCTTGTCACCCAGTTGGATTCGAACCCGCGACCTTGCGATTGTGACCCGGGAGCGCTAACCACTGCGCTATCGACCCACGGGTCCCCTCCCCCTATTTTTAAAAACACATAATATTAACTAATCAAATTGCAGTATTAACTTTTTGCATTTTTACAGAATTCCGATTCTTATGCGGATCTTAAATTAGTTATAATGGATTTATCCGGTAACAGTCCCGAGTTTGCAGATCGTTACACAGTTACACAAACGATTCAATTGATCCGGAATTTTTTTTATATACTTTTTCACTCTGCCTTATAACATATTATTTTAATCCCACAGCTTTCATATTCAATTTATGCAACGAAATTATATGTAAAAAAAAGTATATTATGTGAGCTAAGTTTGCAAACGTTGTTTTATTGCATAAAACTTTTTAAAAAACATAATGGATCCATATTATTACGGGTAGCTAACTTTATTTTATTTTTATTTTATTTTATGTAGTTGTTTAAGTCGTTTAGGATATATTTATTAGATAATAGAATAGTTATATGGTAGAATATTAAGCTTATATTAGATATAGAAGCGCGTGTAGAGGCGAATACAATATATAGATTATTAAGATTTTGTCAATAATAGCAATAGTAAAAAGTCTGTAAATTTAGTAAATAAACGATTCAGACTAATAAGTATATGTTAATTTACTTTGTGGCAGTGTTTATCGAGACTTATCTTTGAACTTTGGATATAAATTTTTGCAAAGTTTTTTTTTTAGTAAATTTGATTGCGGTGCTTATTTTTCTTATTTTTTGAAACTTACGATATTATTGGCTGATTTTCATGTGACATTACTTCCTGACATTCGTGTAAATCTTTTTTTGATTGGCTAAAAAGATATGCAAGGTCGGAATATCAATTTCCTTATTTGGGACGGTCTCCCAGTTTAAACGATCTGTCGAAGAATAATAAAATTTATTCGGCAGACGAATCATAGTAAAGCTGCCGGATAAAAAGTTTATTAACAAGTAACGATAAATAGATATATTATTTATCTGAATTTACAAGTAAAGTCTAGTTCTATAATATTTTTTAATTCCATATCTTATTTATAGGGTTATCGGCTTAAGTTCATCATGTAGTAATGATAGATTCGATTAGGTATAATTGAAGCAATAGATTTCTTATGAATAAAGTTTATTAACCAAATGATATATTATTTATAATAAACTAGAACTTGCATATGTCGCCAGGTTTAATATTGTATGTATAGATGTATAGGAGTTTTTTTTTTTTTAGGATATGAATGTTATATAACAGATAAGTTAAATTTAAAACAGTGACACTTCACGAATTTTAAGCAACAGTCTAATGAATAATAGATTAGTTAAAATTTTAAAAATGCAATTATTATGAATATAAAAGTTATACATCAAAATTTAATATTGTTAATGGATTAGGGTTAGAATTTGATTTAAAGTTATAGGAAGATTAGTTTATGTCCATATTTTATAAAAAAAAAAAAATAAACTTGTCTGTGAAATACGTTGTCTATGAACGTCTATTATGTCGGTGAATTAATTATCTGTCTTTGAAATGATTGTCGGTGAAATATTATGGAAACCTTGCTTAGATTTACTTATCATAAAATGATTTTTCATTTCGCATAGGTCAGAGACTTGAAAACCTTGGAAATATAAGTTTTTAAAATTATGTACTTATTGACATTATAAGTACTATATATTCAAGATTCTCACGTCTTTGACACCATCGTAAAATAAGACTGAATAACCAATTGTGAATCAAAATGTTATCATTTAAGAAGCATTTCTTTATTGTTTTCTAGCTTAAGACTGTTCTTACTTTTATTTCGTGACAGTACTTGAAAAAATGTATTTCTTTATAAAAACATTATTCAGAACTATACAACTGTACTAATTTGTAATTATACAATTTAGACAATTTTAGTGATAAATAATAATTTTAAAAAACAAATGAAGTTAAATATCAATAGTTTTAGAAAAAATCATAATACTTAATGAATTGCAAAATGTTTTATAGCAAAATAATAATAATAATAACCCTATTTTAACTTAACCAAGCTTACTACTTATATCAGTTAGTACAAGCATTCACTGCTTTTCTTGCAAAAATCACCTGCTCGGCACTTCTCGCAAAGATCTGAGCGATGCTCGCCACCCGCCTCCTTTTGATCTTTCAAAAGATGATGCCAGTCTGCCAAATTATTAACTTTATTATGACATCTTTTACATTCTTGTTTTAAATAATCCTCTGTTGTTAAATCTATAGCAGGTATGTTGTTCTCATACTTTTCGAGTAAAATCCAGGCGTAACCGGATTTCCATTTATTTTTGCATTTTTTATTATAACAATTCCATTCTGCAAAAACACGGTGCCATTTCTCTCTTTCATCATCAATATATGTATCTTTACAATCTTGTTTAAAATAGGTCGAAATAAAATTATGCCGAAGACGAGGACAGTTTTTATTTGTGCAAAACTTCGTTTGCAACCTTCCATTTTCACGAAACTTTTTTTTATTTTTCTTTTTTGACCTTGTCTCCATAATCTTCGATTTATACTTGAAATGGCTGTGAATGAATAATAATATGAGATTCTGAACGGTTCAATTTATAGTGAAAAATTTTAATAAATTCCCACATAACAGCAACAATAACAAAATGCAATCACCCTAACCCTAATGAGATTTACCCTAAACCCCAATTCTAATTCCGGTCATATGGTAATAAACATGGGCCAATTTAGTCAGAACCGTAAGCATTGGACTTACTTTAGAGAATGATAAGTTATGTATCGGTTGGGAGAGCAAAATATAAAGAATGTCTTTATTAATTAATAATGTTTATTAAGAAACTATTGTTAAGATTATTATTATAAATTATTTTACAAAGTTAAAACTGAACGTTATGTTCACTACTATCACTTTACTATTAACGCAGGTGCTTATATAAAATTTTCCCTTCCTCTTGAACAAAATTAAGTAATTCAAAGATAATCTAATAAAAATGAATAAGACTTATAACAAAATATAATAGATCCATAATTAAATCATAAATTATAAAATGAAGTTATCGTTGATATTTGAATTCAGATATTCATTTACTCACGATAAATTCCCACCATCTTTACGATATGCTTAGTTGTGGGAAAAATGTTGAATCATATCTCCAATTTCGTGATAATTCAATATGAGTGATTAGCGTTAGGTTAAATAAAATTTGAGCCAATCATTTATGTGATTATTGAGAATAAAAGTGATTATCTGGCATCAGACTATGTTCAGGCTTGCCAAATAACTCAAGTTATTTGGCAGTGATTACATAATTCGCCAAATAACTTGGTTATTTGGCAACTCGCATATGAAAAAAAAAAAGTTTGAGTTAATCGAAAGAATTATTTTTTTTATAGTATTTGAAGTAATGAATTTTTTGGTTTAACATAATCGGGGTTTAAAAAATCGTATTTGTATTTTAAATCTTAAAATCGGAAAATGAAATAACAGTGTTTAAATTATAAAATATGTAAAATATATATATATATATCAATTGTAAAAGAGTCGTTGAATAAATAAGCTTACACTTAATATACAATAGAATTTATAGATTGCTTATTTTGAAACAAATATATTACTTATTTCATTTGAAATAGGTGTCTGAAATTTAATTTTGAAACCTCTTAATAAAGTTTTTAAAATTCCAATGAACCGAGTGAAAGTTTTAATATGATGGAATTTTTTAAAATTGTAATAGACTGGAGCAAAGTTTTAATCGGATCGAAATTTTTAAAATTGTAATAGGCTGGGGCGAAGGTTATAACAGGATCGAAAATTTTTAAATTGTAATATACTGGGGCGAAGGTTATAATAGGATCGAAATTTTTAAAATTGTAATTGACTGGGGCGAAGGTTATAATAGGATTAAAAATTTTAAATATCGTTTACTCGATCGAAAACTCATCCAGGAAGATCCCCAAAACTTCGGGTCGGAATACATTGGAATACTGGTCGATTAAGCCGGAATTATGCCTAAAATCACTCTACGAAGTTAAAGCCCACTCACTAAGTAAAAATCCCCGCCTGATAATTTTGTATAAATCCTGCTAAATAATATAGTGTGAGACCCGAAGTGTGGTTAAGTTGGGTCCGGAATGGTATAACGTGACCCGAAGTCACGGGGGCAAAAATTACATTTATTGCATTTATTGCATTTATTGTATTTATTGCATTTATTGCATTTATTGCATTTATGTAATTTATCACATATATGTAATAAACGAAATAAGTGCAATAAAAGCGATAAATTAGATATAATACTTTTATTACATTTGTTAGATAAATTGTATAAATGTAATAAGTTAGATAAATTGTACACAAAAATTATATTATAAATAAAGGCCGTGTAGGCCCAGTAAGGAGGAACAACTCTCCTAAGTTTTGCTTAGTAAATTGAGTTCTTTATTTGAATAAATAATAATACATTAAATCCCGAATAACCCACTTTCGCTAAACTGTTTCCCAAACCCCGATCTACCGTAACTAACAGTAAGATCCTCGTTAACTTGTCCACGTGATACCTACCCCATAACTTTTCCGGTTAAGTTTTAACGTACCAAGACTAACCGTGGTATATTGTCCAGCTAACCCGACGGATTGTGGTTAGTTGTGGTTATTATATTTGTCCAATTACCCAACGAACTGTGGTAGTTGTGGTTTGAAGTTTCGGATACACGACGAACAGTTGTATCCAAGTTATCCAAAAACCCAAGGCTACAGCATTCACGTGGTTCGCCCTATATAATAAAAGATTATTGTTAGTAGGTTAATATTTGAAGGCATAATCACCAAGAAAACTATAGAGACTCACCTACGAACCCAAACCACCGACCAAATCTAAATGACCTCCTTCGACTAGGCCATTCGTAGGTTACGCAAGGTTTTAGATAGTCAAGCGACTGACTCACCGTAATTCCCCGGTGGCAATAGCAAATGCAGGCCAGCTCCGATGTCTTCTGACCCGGAATTTTGAAGATTGCTCTATAAAAATCCAATTCGAGGTGAATAGAAATAGTTTTTATTAATTTTTTTGAAACTTTAAACAACAATAACTTACAATAACTTAATTAAATTGGATTTTACAAACTTTAACATTTATTTTAAAAAATTTTTATTAAATTTTTGTTGAAATATTTTTGCTTAAAGTTTCAAAAAAAAATTATTTAGAAAAAATTTGTTTAATTTCTATTGACTCAACTCAACTATTGTATTTGGGTAGAATTTAACTAGTTGATGTTGGGCCCCAATTGGGCCCAGCTATCTATTAGCTATAGTTGTTAGGTAAAACTGTTTCGCATAAATGATAAAAGATGAAACCTAATCTCTGAAAAGATGAAAAGTGATGAAACCTTGATAAAAGATGAAACCTCTGATGAAAGGTGAAGCTTCTAATGAAAGAGAAAATAGACAAAAGATAAAATCTTTAGCAAAATATAAATCTTCTAGAGATAGAAATCTTTAAACTTTAATACAAGACAAGGTTCTAATAAGGATAAAAGGCTAGCTACAATTGGTGAATAAAAACTTTTTTTTATATTAATATATTATATATGTGGTGTTTTATATACAGTACATTTTTGCATTAAATTATATTTTCATATAGAAGAATTTCCAAGTTCATAGTCATTTAAACCAGAATTAATTAACTTTTCCTAAAATTACTTAAATTTACTAATGAGATATATTGATAAATTGCTAGATAAATTACAGATATTGAATTATTATTAAAAATATATGCAATTCAAGTTAGAGTCTATACATTTATGTTCTAATTTTATAAAGAATATTCTATACAATAGGTAAGCAAACTTTGCTAAACTTCACTAAATATATTAAAAATTAATAATGATAAATTATTAGCAAAGTTTATTTTTTATATTGATTACTTATTTTGTAGAATATATTTTATAAATACAAAACAAAAGAAATTATATTACTAAAACTGTTATCCTATAATATAAAATAATAGTATTCAAAATTTTTAAACTCTTTTCAATAATTTTTTACAATAATATTTTTACAAAATATTGAAATATAAAGATTATATAGTTAGTATATATTTATATAACAAAACTTTATAAGTAATTACTTTTTTTTTAATATTAAGGTAAGGTTTTGCTTTTATTTTTATTAGAATTTGTATAAGATTCTACAAAAGATTTCTTAAAATTTACAAATTTACTTACAAGAATTAAAAACCAAACAATAAATAGTAAACTATCTAATTTATTTGCAATTTAAACCTGCTAAAGCAATTAAAAACTAATCTATATTTAGATATTTATAATAGTATTAAATAAGTAACTATATTTAGCCTACAAGATAGACTAGACATCAATTTTATATTATGCTAGTTCAAGAAGAGAGTATAAATTGTTATTGTTAAATAATTAATCAGATTAACTACATAAATATATATATTTATAGCTAATTTTAAAATAACTTGAATATAGTAGATATTATAAATAAGTAGTTTTTTTGAAGTTAATTAGAAATATTATTTGAAGTATTCTATTCAGCTAGTTTAATACAGTAAAGTTTTCAAATTTGTTCTTAGATATTATTAGAGAGTTTAAGAAAGAATTGAATAATAAGTTTAGAAATTATTAGTATTGAAGATATAAGTAAGCAGTTAGTTAATTATGTAGTTCTTAAGTTATTTGTATTGAAAGATTAAGTAATAATTTTGTAAAAAAGTCTTGAATTGTTTGAAGTATTAGAATATATACAAATTAATTATTAGAACAAAAAAGCTAATATTAAAAGTTTTATAATTATTGCAAAAAATATAGTTATTATATATAAAGATATTTGAGTAGAATTAGTGAAAATATGATAATATTAAAAATTCATTTAACAAATTTTTAATTTAAAAATATTTTTGATAGCTAAGTTGAAAAGTAGTAAAGTTATATAATTATTTTTAGTTGTTATTAAGGAAAAGCTATATTGTATTCTAGTTAATATATTAAAAAATATATAAATATTTTGTATACACTTTTGAGAAGACTACATGGCTATAATATATAAATTACAAATATTTTAATTAGTTTTTATATGAATTGTTTAACAAAAAGTTTTTAAACAACAATATATAGTAAGAATTATAAAGATTTGTATAATTAAATTATAGAAAAGGTAATAGTAAATAGTATTTAGCTAAATAATTAGCATTGTTATTATATATTTTGTTACTATATGCTTAAACTTTGTAGAATTCAATACTAATATTAAAGAATTTAATATAATAGAATAAAGTAATTCAAATAGGCTAGTATTGTAATAAAGAAATTTTAAATGATAAATAGTTTTTTTATAAATTTATTATATTTGAGAATAACAGATAATGAGTCTGTATAAATTTAAATTTAGCTATTTTGAAAAAAGTACTTATAGCTAATAGAATTGAAATTAGCTTAGTATTATAAAAGGATAGCTAAAGTTAAATTTGTGCAGAGAATTTGTGAGAGATTTGGTTATGATAAACTTGAACT